TTATCAGTGGGTGTGAGTACCCGCAGTGATATTTGGTTCCAGCCTCTATCAGCAGAATCACTAGACTGCAGTCTTCTTGTCTACCTCTTTGCCTCATTGGTAGTCAAAGAGCTCTTGCTGTATTGGTGCTCATTTCTACCCTGACCTGTGGCTTTAGCCATTTCTATTGACCTAGCCAGTTTCAAAGAATAAGAGGAACCTATATATCTCTGTTTGACCAAACATTTATGAAACTTGTTTGACCACAGAACTATTTTGTCGTATAACACATGGAGCATCTTTTGGGAATTACTACCGATAGTGTTTTTGTTGTTCTGGGAAAAGATCAAGGTGACTTTTCAAGGAGAAATCAGGATTAGACACTGGGGTGGGAGACAGAGTTCTTGGAATTCCCTTAGGATGGAAATTTATAGTCATTAACCTAAGACAGATGATGTCAGATAATTTTCTGTTGTGGGGGCTATCCTGTCCATTATAGGATATTTAGCAGCATCATTAGCCTCTACCCGTTAGATGCTAGTATCCGCTACTTCCCACTCATAACAGTATTAATGTGTCCAAGCATTGCCAAATGTCCCATTGGGGAGTAAAATTGCTCCTGTTTGAGAACCAGTAATCTCAGATTACTGAAAAAGTTCACAAATTGACACTTGTTTTCTATATTAAAAGTACCAAGATAGGGGCCCCTGGATGGCTCAGTTGGTTAAGTGTCTGCCTTCAGCTCAGGTCATGATCTCAGGGTCCTGGGATTGAACCCTGAGTCGGGGTCCCTACTCTTCAGGGAGTCTGCTTCTCCCTCTCTCTATGCCCCTCCTCCCTGCTTTGCTCTCTCTGTCTTTCAAATAAATAATTAAAATCTAAAAAAAAAAAGTACCAAGATAAAGAAGGGAGTCAGAAGATTGAAGAAGTGTGTGTGTGTGTGTGTGTGTGTGTGTGTGTGTGTGTGTGTGTGTCTTGGGGAGGGATAAACTAGAAAGGAATCTCCATGGAGTCATTTGCAAAGAGATGGGGAAAAGGGACACAAGACAAATGCAGACCCCATTTGCTCTGAGATCTCTGTGAGTTTACTGGTATCCTAGTAACTTTTCCATTTTTGCTGCTTTTGTTATTGATTGGGCATTTCTCCTTATGGCAGGTGTCAGTAAAACTCTTATGGCAAAAAGAATCTGTGTGTTTTAGGGAACAAAATCAATTAGAGAAGGTACACACATGAATGATCTAGTTGTTAGAAGACTCTTGAACGAAACCAGGCTCTGTTCTGCCTTAGGATGTTTGCATGGGGTACTTATCTACCTGGAATGCCTTTTATCTTAGGATCTTCTCAAACACTGGTTTCAAGGAAAGACTTTTCCTGACCCTTCTCTCTAATGTAATGCTCCCTGATGCATAAATTTATTTTTTTAAACTCAGTGGTTAATTTTATTCCAATCAAAGACAATGATTTTTTTGAATTTTATGTTTACTTTCTTGAAAATATTTTCTTGTCTATTGTGTGTATGGTAATTTCACCCACATTACTAAAAAAGTATCATGAAGTCATTCATGTAAAAGATAAAGAAAATCCCTTTAAACACATCTCAGGGGAAAAATATCAAGTAGGCCATTTAGTAATTTATATATTGTTAACAGACTATAATACAATCCTGGTTTAAGTCAAACATATAAACATTTTGCCATTAGTATATTTTTCATAAATTGACAGGTATTAGATATAAAACATTGTGTTTCTTAGAACCAGGCTCAGTGGTTTGTAAAAATGATAAACTTGTCAGTTTATAGTGTTTTTGTGTGTATCATTTTGTATCATTTTCATAGTAGCTGCACTGGGTGTTCAGTATACGAATGTGACTTAACCACAGTTGAATGGTATTAGCATTTACCACTTTTAGTGAAGTGTCAAAACTTTACTTTCATTCAGGTCCCTTTACCTTTTCCACTTTTAAATATCATTGTATTCAGTATCATTATTTTCATTTTTATTTTAATTACCAAGTATAATTTAGAAAACTTGTGAGAAGGGTAATCTATTCTGTTTGCCCATATTTCTGCCCTTTCTGTTGTTTCTTCCTTCCTGATGCCACAAGTCTCCTTCTTTTATCATTTCCTTTCTGTTTGAAGAACCTGCTTTAGCCATTCCTTAAGGGTAAGTCTTCCAGCAACAATTTTTTTTTTTTTAGTTTTCTTTGATCTGAGAATGTCTTTATTTCTCTTTTATTCCTGAAGAATAGTTTTGTCAGATATAAAATTCATCGTTGACAGTTCTTTTTCTTTTTCAGCACTTGAAAAATGTTCTACTTCCTTCTTGCCTCCATGGTTTTAGATGAGAAATCTGAGAGATCTGCTGTCATTTAAATTGATGTCCTCTATGGGTAATATCATTTCCTTCTGGCGGCTTTTGATTTTTTTTGTCTTCAGTTTTCAGAAGTTTAATTATGATGTGTCTTAGTATAGATTTCTTTGCATTTATCTTATTTAGAATTTACTCAGCTTTTTGAATCTGTGGCTTTATTTATTTATTTATTTATTTAAATTTCCAAAATTGGGAACTGTTTAGCCATTATTTCTTGGAATACTCTTTTAGCCACTCTCTTTATCCTCTCCAGCGATGGCAATATTGGATCTCTTGTTGTTGTCCCACAAGTTCCTGAGACTGTTTTTGTTTTTTTTTGTTTTGCTTTTTAGTCTCTTTTTTCTCTGTTGTTCATATTGGGTAATTTCTATTAATATATTCTCAAGTTCACTGATCCTGTCCTCTCCACTTTGCTACTGAATCCATCCAGTCAGATTTAGAAATTTTCGCTATTGTATCAGTTCTATAATTGCCATTTGGTTCTTTCCTATAACTTATAGTTCTTTGCTGAGATTTTATATTTTTTCATTGTTTAAAGAGCATTTTTAATCCTTGCTGAAGCATATTTATGATGGCTGCTTTAAAATCCTTGTCAGATAATTCCAACATCTGATTCATCTAGATGTTGGTGTCAATTGATTGTCTTTTTTCATCCAAGTATGATTTTCTTTTTTTTTTTTTAAGATTTTATTTATTTATTTGAGAGAGAGAGAATGAGATAGAGAGAGCATGAGAGGGGCGAGGGTCAGAGGGAGAAGCAGACTCCCCGCTGAGCAGGGAGCCCGATGCGGGACTCGATCCCGGGACTCCAGGATCATGACCTGAGCCGAAGGCAGTGGCTTAACCAACTGAGCCACCCAGGTGCCCCCAAGTATGATTTTCTTGTTTCTTGGTATGATGGGTTGTATCCTGGATATCTTGGTTATTACATCCGGAGACTCTGGATCTTATTTAGTATTTTATTTTGGCAGGCAGTCATCCTTTTAGGTTTAGCATTCCAGTCCTGGGCTACTTTTGTAGGCTGTGGTTTCAAAGACAATTTAATTTTCAGAGCCTTTGTTGTACTATTTTGGTCTGCTTGGTGCCCTTATAGTTTTAACAGATCCCTGCTGGTGCTGCCTTCGAAGGTAACAGGAGCTTCCCCAGCCTGCATGGATTCCTGGTAAAGATGAAGATCACTTCCTGTGTTGAGCACTTGTGTCAAAATCCTGCCTCCTTATGGCCTAACTGTCCAGTATCCTTCAGAGAGGGCTGTCTTAGGCCCAGGGAGGAAGGAAAGTCCTGGCCACTTAATGCCAGCATAGCTCCAGATAGATTCTTCTTGCTGGTTCTATAAGCTTGCTCAACCCAGAAATTTTGTACTGTAACACCCTGATTATTTCCTTCATAGCACTTTTTATCTGAAATTATATTTATATTTTATTTTGCTTTTTCAATGTCTGTTTCCCATACCAGAAATAGCTCTGTGAAGGCAGAGTTTTTATTTTTAAAAAGTTTTGGTGTTTCCCAGCACCTAAACAAAATAGGTCCTCAATAAGTATTTATTGAAGGAAAGAAGAAATCCCAAGAGGTAGAGAAGATGATGACAGCTATAAGGAGGAGGGATAGCATACTGAATTCTTAAAATATATTGTCTATTTGGACAATAGGGCTGAGATTTTTAAAAATTTTATTTTTAATTTATTTTGTTTTTTGAGTAGGGAGTTGAATTTTTATTTTATTCATTTGTTGATTAGTTCAACAAATATTTATTAAGTACCTATTAGGTACCAAGCACTGTGCTAGGGATTTAAAGGTAAGAAAAGAGGTCTGTGCCCTGCTGGGCACCATAGTCTATGTAGGAAGACAGGAACTGAAAAAGAAATGCCAATGCAGTGTAGGTTATGAAGCAGAAGTGCAAGTTGTGGGGCAGCAGGTCTCATCAGTCTCCTGTGAGGTGGGGAGGGGTCTCCAGCCTTTCACATCTGCATAGCTCTGTGTAAATATTTGCCAAGAGAGTGAGTGTCTGGGCCCTGGAGCGGCCCAAACTGGAACACTGGGAACTCCATAATCTTAGAATCCTCACCATCACTAATGCTGTTTGAACACTTTATAGGTGCCATTGTTTTCCAAGCCCTGGCTTTTTTAATCCCCACAGCAGCCTTTCATCAAGGGTTCTCTTATCATCATTCCCCTATTTTACAAACAAGGAAACGGGCTCAGACTGGGGGTCCCCTAACTGGTCAGAAATGGAAGCCAGGTGGCTGCCTCCATGGCCCATGCTTTTAAACCCCACCACCTCCCCAGGGAGGAGAGCCCATCTCCACCTCTCCTCAGCCTTGTGCACTTAGCTTAGCTTCCCTTTGCCTCCCTGGTGCACTAGTTGCCTGAGTTGCCTTTCTTTAGCTTCACTTGTACAGAGACAGTGACATGAACAGGATCTCCTGACCCAGGACGGTTTTGGTGGAAAACAAAATGCTGTTTCTAGTCAATGCTAGGATCAAGAAGGATCCTCTTCTTTGGGAACTGAGCCCTGGCTAATGGTCCATATGGATTGTCTGATGTTCTTTATCCCACCAGTGTCCATGGGCATAGAGTTAGTACTGGATGTTCCCAACCTAATGGGCTCTTCATTTCACTGATGGCTGCTCTCTTCCTTCCTCAGGTCCTCAGATTCATCAACAAGACAGAAACTCCAAAAGAGGGATTTCTTGGTATAGAGATTACAAGGGCAGACTCGGGAGCCAGATAGCTTGGGCTCAAATCCTGTCTCTGCCACTTACTGGTGATGTGACCTTTGGCCATGCGACTACATAGTTCATCTGTAGGTGAGTCCATGTGGTTCTATGGCACAGGTGGGAAGTGAAAGGGCCACTTTAACACTAATAAAAAATTACCTATAGCTGTTGTTTATTGAGCACTTACCATGTGCCATGCACAGGCTAAGTACTTTATATCACTGTCTCATTTTATCTGCATAGTCATCCTAGGTAGGTGTGGCATATTGCATTTTTCAAAGATAACTACCCAATATTTTCCATCCTACATGCTGTTCTTGAAATGTGGTATTGATACTCTTCCTATAGAGTGATGAGATTTATATCCCTTCTCCTTGAAATTGGGTCGACCTTTGTGATGCTTTGACCAATAGACTACAGCAGAAGTGATACTGTGTGACATCCAAAATTTGCCATAATGGTCATAAAAATGTTGTGTACTTAAAAAAAAAAAAGCCATGTACTTACTTTGCTCTCTTGGGCTACTCATTCTTGAAGCCTGGCCACTTCATTGTGAGGAAGCCCAAGCCACATGCTAAGGCCATGTGTAGGGTAGTCCAGCTGACAGCCCACATTACATCCCATGAAAATGCCAGCATTAATTGCCAGATCTGTGAGTGAGGATGTGTTCAAGGTGATTCTAGCCAAGTCACTATCTGACTGCAATTGCATAAACTGAGTGAGAACTCTCTAGCTAAGGAAACGGAAGCTCTGAGAAGGGAAGAAGCCATGGTCATGTGGCCAGTAAGTGGCAGAGCTGGAATAAGAACCAGGATGTTAAAGGTTTTGACTAGAGAAATGAGATGAGGGGATGATTTCTGCATAGATGCAGACTTCATCTATTGGCCCAGAGGGATCCAGCTGGAACCCCAACCTCAGGGGCTATTGACTGTTTTATTTCTATACATTTATTGAGTTCCTCTTCTAAGCTATACTGTGTTATGACTTGTGAATTCAAAGCGAATAAACTGTAGCTTTTGTCCCCAAGGGGCCTGTGATCTAGGTGAGGAGATAGACTGTTGATCTCTGTACTCCTGTGTATTCTCCAACATTGGTAAATACTGAGAAGCTGCTATATAAGATATTGAAAAGATTTCCTGGCCTAAGGCAGTCTGTCCTACCTCCTCAACTTTGAGTATATCCAAAGATATCAGAGCGAAATAGGAGTAACTGGTTATTTCCATATTTAAGCAAGAGTTCCTCCTGCATGACTACTCTGAAAAGGAGTTCTAAAGACCTTAAGGCTTTTTATTTGAGTGAAAGAAATAGTGACTAGTATATCCAGTATCTAACAGATGAAGAAGGTGGGTGGATTCCTTCCTCTCTCTGGATAAATATAGTTTATTCTGAAGTCTGCTGTATTTTTCACAAATATTTGTTGGGTAGCAATCATATGTACCAGGCTAGAGATACAAAAATAAGACAACATCCTTGCTCAGAGTCTAGTGTGGAGGGAGAGGTGGAAAGTGTTATAAGACAGTAAGATGGTCACAACAGTGGAGGTAGGGATAGGTGCTGGGGAAAGACTGAGGAAGAAGCTCCTCAGTTTGTAGTGGAGTCAGGAAAGGCTTTCCAGGGAAGCTAGGCTTTGAGCTGGCCATGAAGAATTGACAACTTTCCAGATGTCCAACGAGGAAGAGGGCAGCCTCCTAGAGGCTGGAGGAGGGAGGAGCCTGTGTAAATAGTTGAGGAGGCACGATATGTTTGAAGACCTACAAGAAATTTAGTATTGTTGCTTAAAAAAAAGGGAAGAGGGCCGAGAGGTGGAAAAATAAGTGGAAAGTGAAGTCTGGGACCAGAATGTGAAGGGTCTGCTCTGCAGGTACAGGTGTTTGCCTTTTATGGTTTGGTGTGCTGTTTCTAGCCACAGTTAGAATTATCTGGGAGCCTTTTAGAAAAGACCAATACCTGGTCTCAATTCCAAAGATTCTTACTCAATTGGTGTTGGGTGAGACCTAAATATCAGTATTATTTTCAAACTTTTTATTGGAATAAATTATACATGTGTGTCTCCATTGTGCTGTTCTTTCCCTGCCGCTATATATCTCTTTTCTTTTGTGTATTATGCTCCTAAATGTCTTTATTTTTTTTTTTAAGATTTTATTTATTTGACATAGAGAGACACAGTGAGAGAGGGAACACAACCAGGGGGAGTGGAAGAGGGAGAAGCAAGCTTCCTGCTGAGCAGGGAGCCCAATGTGGGGTTCGATCCCAGGACCCTGGGATCATGACCTAAGCCGAAGGCAGATACTTAATGACTGAACCACCCAGGCGCCCCACTAAACATCTTTGTTTTTGACCCTGTTTCCCTAACTGTTGATTGGCTATCATGACTCAAATTTAGTGTCACTTACTTCAGGAAGCCTTTCCTGATCTTTCCTGGCTGAGTTATGAATACTTTTCTGTAGTTCCATAGTAGCTTGTATATGATTTTCAGTGAGAATTGTATCCAGTTGATTTGGTTTGGTCTTGGACATCATACCATAACTGAATTATTACATCCAGACCGAATCCAATGAGGGAGGCAAAATTGAGTGCTAATATCAGAAGGGTGGTGGGTACTGGGTATCAAAATAACAAATATTTTTCTCAATACTATATAAACCTGTATTGTTTCTGAAAATATTTAAAGTGGTTGTTTCTCTACTGGACTAGGAGTTCCCTAAGGGCAAGTACTATGTGGTATTGATCTTTGAATACTTAGCTCTGAGTCAGTTTCCTGGCTCAATAAATGTTGAATGAATGGTTCCTGCTGTCAGATTTAAAAATATAGTTTATTCTGAAGTCTGCTCTGAATACGATTCATCCTTTCTAAAGTGTTTCCACTTTATTCTTTCAAGCCTCCAGGACTTCAAGGATGGGGGAAAATTTTGCACAATGGCTTTTGAAATTATCATCAACCAGAAAACATCTTTGAGAATTTTATTATCTCCTTTCCATTTGGCCTCCTGAGAAATGTGAGGATCAGTAATAGGAGAGAGGCAGGCAGGCCTAGCAGCTGGGATCCAAACCCACTAATTCTCTGGACAAGTGCCCTCTGTCTCTGCCAGAATTCAGGTTGATGATAAGGAGGAAAGTAGAGGTTCCTGGACTCAGGTTGAGAGGTGCCCAACCCATATTAAATTGATTGGGTCCACAGGCACTGTGGAAGTAGAAAATGTTGTTTTACTTCTGCCTTATCTGCTGAACATTCTCTAAGGATCTCTTTTAACTTACATTTAAAAATTGGAGGGAAGGGGCACCTGGGTGGCTCAGTCGGTTAAGCGGCTGCCTTCAGCTCAGGTCGTGATCCCAGGGTCCTAAGCCCCACGCAGGACTCCCGGCTCAGTGGAGAGCCTGCTTCTCCCTCTCCCTCTGCCTGCCGCTCTGCCTATTTGTGCTCTCTCTCTATCTCTCTCTCTGTCAAATAAATAAATAAGATCTTAAAAAAATATTAAAAAAATGGAGGGAGAAAGACGCTGATAGGTAGGGAAGTTTACATTTAATTGCTAATTTGTAAGCATTTTTCTTAAGTGCTACTTCATTTCAAAGTTGTCATTTAATGGGTATCATAGTGTTTCTCTGGAAAAAGGAATGTGTTTCATTGAACTCACTACTCCTTCAGGAGCAGACTTGGATTTAGTTTTATGAACAGTAATGATTTTTTCATAAGGTGTACTTTGCTTCCACACAGCGTAGTATGATTCATAAAATCAAGTTCTTATGCTTTCATTATCCTTTCCAGGAATAAACCCTATTTCAGACAGCCAGAATTCCCATCGTAAACCAGCTAGGCCCTTGTGCATAATACTGTGCAATTGATCGTTATTGTTTGTAGCCACATTAAATGTCACAACATGCTTTAGAATGAGAGATGAAGGAGAAGAAGGAAGAGGAAGAGGAGGAGAGAATAGATGGCAGAGTAGCACCTGGTGGGGCTGAATCTCCCTTTGCTTTGAAAAGAGAATGTTTCCAACATCCAGATATGGTGAAGAAGATGGAACTGATGGTTGAACTTTTTACTGAACTCACCATCTCCATAGAAGTTTGCTCTGAGTGATCAAAGCAGTCTTTCCAGTCCTGAAGAATGAAGGGTTTACCTCAGAGCTGCTCTCTCCATTCCTCCTCCTTCCCTCATTGGTCAAAACTTATCTGGGCAGATTGGATTGCTGGACTACTTATTTAACCCAATAGAAATAATGAGTGCTGTATGGCCTACCTGACATTCATTTTTCATGCACCCTCTCACCCCCATGGGTACCTTTATTTTCCCTTGGAGTAAGGCGGGGCAGGTGACCAAGAATCCTGCTTACCTACATTTCTCCCATCTGAGACCTCACAGCTGGCTTACAGGAAAGAGTCCAAATTCTTTGGCATGGGATACAAATAGGCGGCATAATAAAAGGATATTTTGGGAATAATAATTTGGCAGCAGAAACCAAAGGCAGGGAGTAAATTAGCAGTTAATTAGAAGAGTTTGGCAGGATTTGGGCCTCAACCAGGAAGACGTTGTGCCAGAACTATTATTTATTATTTAGAGAGAATTTGGCCAAAGAATATACATACACTGAGAGCCTATTAGGAACCAGACCCTGTGCTAAGTGCTTTACATATATTATCACATTTATGACAAAAGTAATTCCATCTCTAACAGCACCAATACTTTTTTGCTGTGGCACTTTTTACAACTCGAAACTATATATTTATTTGTGTGGTTAGTTGTTTTAATGTTGGGTTCCACCCACTAAATTTCCATCTATGTGCCTGTCACATAGTAGATGCTTGAAAAGTTTATTGAATGAATAAATGACTATGTCTTGGTACCACTCTTATGCAACCTAGATTCATGAAAAGAAACTTCATGGAATTCTAGGAAAACTGGATAAGGAGTATGCAGGAAGGGGCTAAGCCAGGCAGCTCTGGGAACGTTGGCAACCACTAGAGAACTTGGCCATTAACATGACCACTGCTAATGCTTCTGCACTAGAGCTTTCAGTTGAAATTCTTGAGAGAGATTCTGACTGGCCTGACTTGGGTCAAGTGTCCACTCATGATCCAGTCAGCAATGACCA